AACAATGGTAAAATTTCAGAGGATATTTCCTTCAGATATTCTTCAGTTTCAAAAAGAAATTTCACAAAGAACTTAAAGATGACCAACATTAACTGATATATCATTAATAATAATAAATATGTCAAGCTTCAACTTCATGATTGAAACAACTCTTCTCTGAGACAGTTGCAAGATCCTCCAAGGTAGGAAAAACATGAGACCACATGTGCTTCAGTAAACTATGCTGAAAAACTACACCTTTTTCAATAAAAAAGGGCAGAGCCCATTCTCTGTTTCTGAGGCCAAATGCCACAGCAGCTCCTCAAAACATAATGCTCATTTTTGGAAGGGTCATAGGCAACCTTCTTCCCCAAACTGTGTCTCTGGTGTTCCCGGGAGTGTACTGACTGCCATGACACAAAGTGCCGAGGAGCAGCAACTCCTCCAACAAACAATCCCAGCTGGTTCTCAAAACAGGAACCTCTGTACCATACTCATTTTAAAGAAGAGGATTTTCTGGAACCACATACTGTCTCAAAACAAAACAAAACAAAACAAAACCACCAAAAAACAAACAAACAAAAAAACAAAACAAACAAAAAATACCCCCAAAAACGAAGAAGATAATCCTGACGTGGTTTATCATCCCTTTCCTCTCATGTAATACTTCAGTTGTTCCCTGTGTCATGGCCTGGTCCTGTAGTCCTTCCTCCTCTAAGTCACCCTGTTTTTAGACAACGGAGAAAGGTCTGCAGGATTAGGTCCTGCACTCCAACCAATATTCTCCTCAAAGGAAAATGATGCATTCTGCCTGCTCAGAATTGCCATGAGAGTGGGTGGCATAGGGAAATGTAATATTTATTTGGTAAATAAGGTTAAGTTATAGTGCTTCACTTTTTCATTTGAAGAGAGCAGATAATTTCCTTCTCCCGGGTTTATTGGATTCAGTAAGTCACCCATGAATAAAGCATGTGGGGATAGGATGAAGAGTATCTGTGGAAAGATCCATGGAACACACACAGATGGGATTAATCTACTCATTCCACATATCTAATTGCAGTTTCACAGAAATTCTGCTAAAAACACATTTATTTGGCAGTAAATAAGATGACTAATTGCAAAGGATATCTGCACATAAATTCCAGAGTGAAATTTCTGGCACATTTCTAATTGTCATATAAAAGAAAATTACATACTCTCTACTCATTTTTCCTAATTAAATACAAAATATGAAGTTATTCCTACTAGTCTTATTGGTAGAAATGAAGGCTATTTCTGTTTAACCATGAAATGCAGCATATGGTTCCCTGATTATTGGTACACTGTGCAGCAGAAGTCCTGGGCAGATGATTTCAGGGGATGATCTGACCATGCCTGCTGCTGAGATACATGGAGATCCTTTCAATCCAGACTTGCAAATTGTTCTGTATAGAGTTCTGTGAAGGATACGAGGCCCTAAATTAATGACTACTGTATTAGGGCTGTCTGTTTGGGTTTTTTTTTCCCCCAAAGTTCTCTAAATAAAGTGTCACATAAAAGGCAAACGCAAACTTTGCATGATAATCAAGGCATTAAAAAAATTGCTGCTTGCCTGTAGCTTGTTTATAGGAAAAGGCTCTCACAAACACCCAGTACCCAAAGTAACATGAGATATATTTGGCAGAAGAAGATGAACTCAGATCTTATCTAGCTCAAGCCAAGGACAATATTGACTCTTCATATAGGATTTCTAATACTGGAAAGAAGGTTAAGGGAAATTATGTGCAAATCATTTGCTGACAGCTTTGAATAATGATGCAAAAATCCTTTAAAATAGTACGAAGTGTAAGATATGCCAGTAAATGTAACACTAAACAAAGCCAGCCCTGCAACAGCAGTACAGTGCAAGTCTAGCACAGACCAGACATGTTTCAGTAGTGCAGTGGGAATTAAATGTTGCTGCCTTTATCTGTACACACAAGAAGAGCTCTGTCATTCTGTCCACATAATGGAATGCAAAATATGCCAGTTTATTAATTGCTTAACATCTACCAAACAGCACAGTATTTCCCAAGTGGGAAAACACATGCTAAGAGGGAAAAAAAAAACCCAAACCCCACAACCAAACTATAATTTAAAGTGTGACAATTCTCAGCACTGAACATAAAAGGGATTCAGTAGGAATGCAGTTGGTTGAACACTGTCACTTGCCCTGACTGTGAGCCCTTCTTTATGCATGAGGATTTTGAAGTCTGATGAGTATGCACAGAGCATTCCCACTGATTCACCACCACAGAGAAGAGATTTGGCTGGGATTTCATCCAGAAAACAGCTAAGAAAATAGCAAAACACAGGTATGGAAAAATCTCTGCTATGCTCCAGGATTCTACCTTCCCTCCATAATAGAGCTACCTCGTATGACTGCAGCTATTTTCCCTGCCTTGCTGCACATAAAGCCTCTCTAAAGTGCATTTCTGACACTTTTCCCTTAGGAAATTCTCCCAGACACAAGGAAAATATGCTGCAAGCCAGGGCTCTTACTTGCAAATCTCATACATCGAACTCATCTGCTCTGCACAGGAAACTCAAATATCAATATCACAGTCAAAAAAGAGACAGAGAAGCACCATTCTCTTTTTTTTTTTTCTTTTTTTTTGGTAATTGAGCTCTGCCAGCCCTTCAATAATCAAAGATCATCAATCAGATTCATACATACACCAAATTATGAAAAAGCCATGGATATTTTAAAGTAGGAAACCTAAAATGTATCATTAGCTTTCTGGATTTGACCTTTCTAACACACTCATTTCAAGACCTTTTTTTTTTTTCACTTGTTTGATTGCTCCAAGACGAGGTTTGCATGTGGCCACTTGCCTCCTGGAGCAGGGCCACAAAAAGAAATGCCAAATACTGTGAGAGCTGTGATAAAAACTGTAACTTACCGCCCAGCTAAGCCTCGTCCTCTACTCATGCTTTGCCAGAGGGAGATAGGTGAGCCCCAGATCTACCACTCTCCAATTTATGAGTGAAACTTGTGGACATGCTGGTGGTTATAGACCACTCCTGACAGTGGGAGAGAAGGCTGCAGCATTTGTAGAAGCAGCGTGTGGTCAGGATTTTAATGAGATGGGTCAGGAACACAAGCAACAGGGAACTGATGAGGAATAGGACGTGCACAGACTGGCGAGAACACAACCTTTTACTGTTTTTCCGTCTTCATGGACACATCTCAGCACCAGGCCATTGACCCATCAGTGCCAAACACAAAATTTCAGCTCATGAGATCCACGTACTGATCATGGCTATAGTGACAGTCCTGAGATGCTGGCTACCCCTGGAAATTGTAAAGTCAAAACCAGTCTCTTCAGCTCAGAGATAATCTCCTTTCATTTTCTGCCACTTAAGGAGTGTCAGCACTGATAGGACTGCAGGACACAAACCTCAGATGTTATTTAAATATATCAGTTTCGGGGAAAACATCAGCAAGATACAGCAACAATATGAGCAGCTCTACCAGTCAGAAACATTTTATATCTAAACCTCAAATTCTCCAGAGAAATCTTCAGACTCAAAGAAACAGCAAACCACTGTATAATTCATCTTCATAATCTTGATGTGTGGTTCTTATCACTGACATACTACTACACTCCTGGCTTTTACAGTAGTCTGACTCCTGTTAAAGGTGTCCATTTGGCCTTATTGAGGTATAATGTAATAAAACCACCTTTTCCTGTTTATTTCTTTTGGAGTCAGCAAGGGACTAAGTGGCATTCTTCTGAGGGGATGTTAAAAGCTAGACCTTACATTTGTTTCAGCAGTGTAAATCTATTGCAATACCACTGATTTCAGTGACATAACATGTGGTTACACCTAGAGAAAACTATATTTATTTGGTGGTGCAAGCCCTTCATATATATAGCTGGAAACCTGGAAAGAATTTTGAGAAAACAAAGCTGTGCATTTGCCCTTTTTTTCACTCTTCTGCAACTATCTACTAGTGACCACTGCCTGAGACAAGGCACTAGACTAGATGCATCCTCTCTCTGCCTTCCTAAGGTCATTCCTACATTCTTTTTTAGAGCAAAACCTCCAGAAGTACACCTAGCCTACTCGTCTACCCTGTAGAGTTGCACTTCAGAATCCATTTCTTTAATTGCATCAAATATTTGGGTCTTCTTGTTTAAGTGGAGATGTAAATAAAGCACTGTACAATACATTTTAAAAATCACCTGGTATTGAACAAACCATTTAATTTAACTTGGTTAATTTGGAATCAATATTATAATTAATTCTGTACTTCATCTGTCTTTTGAAGTGGTGGAACAAAGTAGTTTGTGCCAGTTCAGCCTTGTAGGAGTGTGTGAAACGCTGGGGCTGTATTTCCTCTTTCCCCTGCTAAGTAAGACTTATCAGTGAAAAGGTTCCCTGATTCCAGAAGTGCTTTATAACGAAAGCAATTCATGACAAAAGAAAACAAAGTTTCACAACTTCATTCATCTGATCCAGTGTCTGATTTGATTTTTTAAATCATTAGCTGGGCTGAACTGTACTAGCTTCACTTTAGGTAAATCATGAGGAATTGCCTGCCTTGTGTTCCTGTGGAATGCTGAAATACTCCTGGGCTTGCTTTGCTTGAAAGAGGCTCAAAGTACAGAGAATACCAGGAAAAAAATCATAGTCCTACTGGGTGCAGTTAAGGAAGAGTCTAACCTGCCAGACTTCTCCAGTGCCACCCAGTACAGCACCCAAGTCTCCAGTCAGTATCACAACCAAAAGATACAGCTTCCCTCAGCTTTACAGAGAAAAAAACCCTCTCAGATTTACAATACAGTGCATATTTTACATGCCAGCAAGGGCAGCAAGTCTTCTAGGAAAGCAGACTGTCAACAGTCCTGCTGCTCTCTCTGTCTCCTAATGACTCCAAAGCTGAAGGATCATCAGAAATCCTGCTCACACTTCATTGGTTTTCCTAATTACTGGTCAACCAGACATATGACCAGAGGGAACAGCCTGAGAGCTCACAAACACAGCCCACACTGCAAAAAGACCAACTGCTACAGAGGTTAAAAGCCTTTCTCTTGCAGCAAAGAGCTACCCTGCAGACCTTCAATTCCACGTGTTGTCCAATCCAAACACGTTACAGGTAATCATTTTTTAAAACCCTTCCCAAAGTGTTGCATTTACGTTGTATGACCCTCCCTTACCAGAATGACTTTCCTATCCCAAGGGGCTCATGCAGTGAAATGGAAATCAAGATAGGCTGGAAAAGTCTGCTTTCTACTTCTACCCTGAGAGCAGTTTTGGGGTTCCAGTGCCCAAGCAGGAGCACCAGTCTCTAGGCTTGGTGTGATATCAAGCAACATTATAAGTGAAGATCAGTGATGTGTAAAGCAACCAGAAGGTTGTAAATAAAATAGTTAGAAAGTGTATGCCCTCGTGGAGATAACAGAACGATTTAATGATTTAAAACTTCCTTTCCAGAGTCTTCTAATTCCCACAACTCTTATTTAGCTTAATAAGAGCTATGAACATGCAGATTTATTCACCAGTATTGGCAAACTCCTGGTACTTCCTTAACGCTCCTATTTCTTTGGTGGTGTGATTAACAAAAAATGCTTCTTTTTAGGGAAAAGGAAAAAAGAAAGATTCTTATGGTGCAGAGAGTTTTTTAACATGATTTGAATGATCCATTAGAGAGTCAGAATGACAAACAGTAATTCAAGACAACAAAACTGTTTAAATTTCCATATTTCTTGGGCAAACATTAATTTCTTGAGAACTCAAATCATGGTTTATAAACACCTGAGGCCAACATCTCTGCAATGATTAAACCCCCTTTGATGCTTTAGCTGAGCAGCACAGTAAATACATATTGATATCTCAAGGTAACTACCAGTGAACACTGTCCTGGAAGCTGGACTTCCTTTGGTGGGACAAAAATATGTCAAAAAGAAATGTTGTGTGCAACAATATCAGTTCCCAGCAGTGTTGCTGCGATCTGCCAGTGTGCTGAATGTGCTCCAAGGGGTGATGTTCAAGCCATCTCTAACTGCAAGGCACTTCTCTGATCCCTGCTCTTGTCACTGACCCAGCAGCTGGACTTCTCAGGAGCCCTCTGGGAATGGCAATGCACTGCCCACAGCACAAGTCAGACAAGTGAAAAACAAGTGTGCATTTGAATGACTTGCAGATCTTGTAGGCTTTGTCCTTAACATTGTGCTGCTGGCAAAGTCACACTCTCCTAAAGCAGGAGACCATCTGAAATGACAAAATCAGAACAAGTCCCTGATTAATACAGTTTGCCTCATTGCCCTTTACTGTTTCTCCAGTGACAAAAAAAGCTGAATATGGGGCTGCTGTTGGGGAGCAAGGCTGAACGCAGATATTATTAAGAAACACATTTTGCCTTCCCCTGAAATTCCTAAAATTCCTATTTGCATGGCTCAAACCTCTCTGTGATCATTTCCATCCTCCCATAACAGATGCCCCCCTAACACATGTGCTACGGCAAGTTTACTGATTAGAACAGCTCAAAGAAGAGTCTGTGTGACTTGGCTTTTAATAATTTCATTTAGCAAGAAAGAAAAAATTAGACAAAGCAAAAAAACTCCTCTTACTTTATTTATTTGTCTCATTGGATAACAAGTTTTGGCAAGTGCTGCTACCCAGCTGAATTTAACCGCATACTAAGTTGTTGCAATACTGACAAATACAGAGCTCACTTCTTATAACAGTGTTAAAAATGATGGCAACAAGAACACAAGCTCTTATCTGAGGATTACTGGGAATCTTGTGCCCTTTTCACAACTGAGATCTCCAGAGAAATTCCCTTGTGCCTTACCCAGTTTAAAATATTAAGATGAGTTGCAGCAGGCAGCAAAAGCAGTAGTTGAGTGATGTTCTTCCCACACCAGCCCTGCTAACTTCAAAGAAGATGCACAGGGAACAGAGAGCAATTAAGACTGGTTTTCAGAACACGCTGTCTCAATACAGAGCATCACTGCTAAAATTTTGTCCAGTAGCTAAAGAACAATTTCAGTGACAGAAATTTTGAGAGACTTATGAGAAGCAGAAGGTGATGAAAATGCATCCTAAATCTCACATTTAATAATTAACCTTTCTGAGACCAAAAGGGATCAAATTCAAAGCCAAAAACTACTAAAGATAATTATGATAGTCAAGAGGCTTTTATGAGCCATATTCTTAATGTAGTTTCCACTCTGCTGGGAATACCAAGTACTGGTTAGCCTGAACATATGTCAGAAGTTACACCATAATAGTGCTTTGGTACATGAAAAAATACTCAAAGTGCAAAAACCAGAACTTTGCTGCATCCTTGGGGTCTTTTTTGGACATCTGGTCCTTCTCGTTTGCTTTTTGAATTAGGTATGATATTTTCATTACAACAGATTCCTCGCTTTGGCCTTTTTGCACTACATGTGCTGATAAAATACAGGGGCTTGTGAGCTCCTTTAAGGAAACAAACTAAGTATTTGAATATCCAGCAGCAGCTGAAATATATCTGGACAGAGAAATAGCACATGCTATGTCTTGTGCTAAGAAAGCATCTTGCAACTTGCAAAAGGTAAGATAATATTTATCCTCCCAGTACAAGGGCAGAGCAAGTTAACAGACATATATTTTCATTCTTCATCTTTCAGTGTTCCTATGGGGGAAAAAACCCTGTGGCAGGAGGTCCATCTGAAAAAATATTTCTAACACCTCGGAGCTAATCAAATCTTTTGAAACAAAAGTGTTGAACCTGCCACAATCTAGTCACTGGAAGCAACACTTCTGCTGGGAATATGCTAATTTTGATGAAGTCTTTAGAAAAGGTGTTTTATGTTTTGAATGGACTGAATATGAGAGAGACCAGGGGCAATAACAATAAAGAGAGAGAAAATATAATCGGGTGACGGAGAACAACAACTCAGAAGTAGGTCAGAAAAATTTACTTTACCAGTTTCAGAGTTGAGAGCTGAACTTGGCCACTTGTGTCCCAGGTGAATGTCTTTATTCTGCACATGGCCAATCTGTTTTTCTAGTCCAATTAAAATTTAATTGTTTATGCAGCTGCAACAAGAAAGGCTGAGAGAAATCCAGCCCAGAGCAGCAAACTGCTGAATGGTTTGCACATTCCTTAGGGAAGTGGGAGAATGGAAAATGCTCTCTTTCTCTTTGCAGTTTGCCTAGAAGCTCTATTTTTATTTTTTTTTTTACCAAGAACTTACCCAGTTCTTGGGTTCGCACCCACACAAAACAGCAAAAGAAGAGCATATTTAGAAAAAAAAAAAAAAAACACAAAAAACAACAAACAAACACAAAACACAAACCAAACAAACCCACGCTCAAACAAAAAAACCCACAAACAAACACAAACTTGGGCATCTTTGTTAGACAGAAATATTTCTCCCACATATAACCATAAATAAAAAGGGTAGTGCAACTTTGGTCCCTTATGGACTCCCAGAGTTTAGATCTCCCCATTCCTGCTCTTCCACTTGCTCCTTCCCTTTTGAAAACATCTCACAGCAGGTGAGCACTTACACCCAGAGCCCTGCTGGCTTTGGCACTGACACTTTTCTCTCTCAAAACTGCAACCCAAGGTTAGTAGAAGTGATCAGATTGCTCCAAGATTGGCTACTATTAACTAAAGAAACAGATGGAAAAATTGATTAATAAAAAAGAAAAAAAAAAAAAGAAAAAAAGAGAAAGCTTTAATAAAGAGAAAAAGATCTGTGATGAGATCTAGTTCACCCAAGCCTTTCATGTGGGGCACTCCTACCTCATCCCTTTTGAGATGGGGCAGCTGTTTCCTTCTCTACTTTTCATCTCCTCTCACCTGCCTTTTTGAAATCACCCAAGGTCACTGTTGTTGCCTGTGTCTTCTCTAGCCTGGTTAAACCCCTTCTGCAGATGTCAGAGGTGTGTATCAGAGCAGATGGCTCTACATTGTCTGATATCCCTTGAAACCTCAGCCAGCATGTGTGATACTACCAGCTAACACAGTCCTCCCTCCCTCCCGTTCCTGGTTAATTTTTATTAGCAAATTAAACACTCAATGTGTGCCCTGATGCAATCACTGCAGTAGCTGGCCAAACACATTGTATGCATTACTTATCACAAATGTTTCTCCTGCCATTCTCATCCATCGGTGAACCGCAAATCGAAGCAGCACAACTGTGGATAATAAATGTTTTTCAGAAGTTGCTCAATACACTGAAGTTACAAAGGTATCTGGGGGAGTTGAATGACTCCAACAGATACCACAGTTCTAAACACCAGCTGAACCACCCCTGTTTCAGGAATGGGGCACTTACAGGTGACGTAGATAGTGATATTTCTCCAAGAAACTATGTGCTCTGTGGGGAGCTTCTACATTGCAGAAATCAGACACTGATCAGTGCAGAGGCTAAATATGCACTATGTAATGAGAAAATGGCTAATCTTCTGGCACTGCAATAGTCAATGTTCAATGGCAATATTTATTGACTTATCCATAGCTGTGACACAATTAATGGCAATTTGATTCCAGCAAAAATGCATGTGATTGACCCCACTTCGTTAGTCTGGAGAGTATTTTACAAACTGAGAGCAAAGTGCTGTGATTTAACAGATGAACTACAATAGCTGATTCATTTAACCTTATTTCAATTCCAGCAAACCCAGTTACCTTTCAGAGATAATATATTAATGAAACAGCCTCTATACAAGTATTGGTCCAAGATTAAAGAAAGTAAGTGTCTTTTGTCTGGATTTGTATTTCAAATAGATCTCCATGTGCTTAACTTTATTGATTCAAGCAGTAGGTATATGATTAGACAGACAGATAGATGGAGTGTTTCAACCGATCTACATTCATGATACCACACAAAAGCATTCAAACAGCATTTTAGCTCTAATCTCAGATATCTGACTCCACATAAATACTTTTTCTAATGCAGAACATCAGTTTATGAAGCAGCAGCTGGAGTAATGGCATGGAGGACTGCAGCACACCTTTGTTAATGACAAACAGTCTAAATGCCTTTTAATTTTAGGCTGTGGTGAGAAAATAAATAAGGCAGCTTTTTCCTAGCCTCCTGCACTGGTGCTGGCACAGAAAAACCCTTGTGGGGCCTCGGTGAAGGACTGAGACTGAAAAACAGCCTTGACATTGACTTAAGTGGGCCAGAACTCCAGTCCCAAGGGGCAGGAGCAAAGTGGAGCTGGAGCAGCCAAAACCTGAGAGGCAAATCACTACACTAATAACAGCAACGACTAAAAAGATTTCTGACAAAGCATTTCATTAATAGAAAGTTGATTTTTTTTCCTTGCAATGTTTCCAAAATGAGTCTGCTCCTGTCTCTTTTCAAAGGTATACTTGCCACAAAACAAGAGAGACAATGGCATTTTTAATTTGGTTCAAAGCCATTAACTTTTGCCCAGTCCTTGGGGAAGAACCAGTTTTCATTTTTGCTTTGGAACTGCTGCAGAAAAAAAAAGAAGTCATCATTTGCACAGCAATATGGACGTGATAGCCTTTGGAATGGGAAGGTGAAGGATCAGATCCATGGTCCTATGGCCTTTCCATACCCTGGAGATGCACCTGGACAGCATGGGAAAAGGGAAGAGCATGCAGTCCACAGGGGGACAAAACACACTAATCACAGCTGGTATTTTCAAAACACCAAAAAGAAATTAGGGAACTAATGAAGTTGCCTAATTCCCCTAGGCAATAAGATAATTCCAGCTAGACCAGAAGTGTGAGACAGAACACCAAGAAAACTGCTGTCCCTTTTGGGTCTGGCTGTCAGCTGAGGCAGCTCAGCATTTCCATAGAAAGTCAGAGCTGTTCTGCACCCACTGAGAATCTGGCCCCATTTTTAACACTATCTGTGTATGTTAAAGGAAAGGAAAACCTAGCTCAGATCAGACAGTTTATATGCAGTAGCCTGTCAACACTAGATCCACTACAGGACATGATCTGAATTAGGAAACCTCTCACTCACCCTGACTTGTCATTGATCACACCTCCTTTAGAGACTTAGAACACCTGAGAGGAACAGTTTAGACTGAACAAACTTCCAGAAACCTCCAGCAGTGAAAAGCAGCATCAGTCCTTTCAGGGCTCAGACTCCTGAGGGAGTGGGAGGAGGAAGAGCAGCTGGCACAGACTAAAGCATGCTGTTCCTGCAAGGGCTACTTGCTTTCACCTTCTTCTCCTTAGATTTCTTTAAAGATACTTGTTATTTCTGCCTTCAACATTCATTCAACACATCTTGCTGGGCTGCCTTGCTATGTTTATTTTCTAAATGGATGGTTCAAGCACATGATTAGCCCTCAGGCTGAGTCAAAGTAACAGGCAAATTAGAAGCCTAGAGGCATTAGGAGCCAAAAAGGCACTTGGAAATGAGCACTGAAAGATATTCAAGCTTGTCTCAGACCTTCATTCATCCTTCTGCTGTTGCAATAGCCATGAGCAGATTGTTCTACTCTTTTCTTATGAAGCTGAGGGATTTAATCTTACCTGGTTTCTTGCACCAGAAGTGTATAAAACTTGCTCGGGGTCTGCTGTTTTGTGTATCTTCCATTTTACATTCCTGTCATACATCATCCTTACCCACTTGCTCAGTTTTTTTCTTTTCATTTTTTTTATTCCTTTATTCTTTTTCTTCTTTTGAAGATAAGCTGTTTGCAGCAGAGGAGTTCAGCCTGTGTTGATTAATTCAGCAGCTAAGTCTCTCTTTGTTTTTCTTGTGAATTTTAAAGATGTAGACTGGATAGTCTTGAATCAATGAGGTTATCAGGATTTTTTTTTTATTTTTATCCTAAAGCAAGCAGTAGCCCATTGCTGATTTCCAACACAGAATCACCAGTCATTTCGATACAGTTCAGCTTTAATGGACTGAATCATTGGCTGTTTTTTCTCTTACATAAAAGAAGAATCAGCCTCAGTAATCAGAGCTAAATCTCAACACCAGGAGGACAAAAAAACCCACTCTACTTCCCGTGCCAAACCCCCCCACATACCCATGGCATAAAGAGAGCACTGTTAAAAGCACTGTTAAAGCCCCTTAGGCAAGGCCTAATAACCACAGATTTTTTAATCTGGTTAGAGATTTGACCAGTCCTTTGATAATGATCACCAGAAGAAAGACACACTTCACCCTATTCAGTTACCACGGGATTGTCCCTACATTTGCCATAGGAAAATTGACCCGGTAGTTTCTATTATTTCTCATTTTGTACCTTTTACCATCTAGAAATGTTCAGGTTCTCCCCCAACACAAAAGACATTTTTTTCACCTGATCCTATAAATTCCCTTTTCTGATTATTGTAAGATGTTTAAAAAAAAAAAAAAAAAAAAAAGCAGCAAGTTTTCCCTTTTCTCAAATCTACTCTTTTCCACATTCAGATATTAAAAGTCTTCACCTACAAATGACAGTTTTGCTGTGTTTCAACTACACTGGCATTACAAGGCACACTTCCCCATAAGATACATGTATTCACCTGCATGTATCACCTTGGTGCAAAATATTCTGTAGGAGAGAGAAATTCATGAACCTCATCTCTCAAATACATTTCTAAGTATCATCCCATAATGTGACAACCCTAAGTTCAGCAACTGGGCCCAGGGAAGGACACAGATCCTAGCACTGGAGAGAAAGCACCACCTGCTCACTGGGGTGGCTGTTTTTTAGTGAAGGCTCCTATTCTCTAAACTTTGGGACAATAATTTCTGAAAACATTGCTATACACAGCATTCAGGGAAAAAAAGGATAAATTAAAGCAGACTGCTTCAAAATTAGAGGTCTCTGTGTTAGTCAAAGGGACAATGTGATTAGGACTTCCCACCAGAGGTGAAAAGCTCAGTTGTTCCTGGCCTGTTCCTGTTATTGTTATTCATGTCGATGCTCTAAGTTCTGCTCTTTTCCTGGGGGTATTTCAAGTGGTTTTAACACATTCAATAGTCAGAACAGGAGAATCAGTTGAAACTCAAGCCACAGGAAAGCAAAGACAGGCCAAAAGATTGCAGCAAGCCAGTGGTTCAGCTCAGGACTGTGGCACAGGAGAGAGGCATTTCCTCTGTCTTCCATTGACTCGGATATGCTGGGAGAAGCTCTTATGAGAAAATAAGTATTTGCTATTGCAGGATGTAACAGTTTCCTACCAGATGAACTCACCTGAAAGACTGCAGGGTTTGAGTAAAAAACTATTAAAAGCTCTGCAAAGCAGAGTAAGAAAAGGAGTTCTATAAATAATGGATTTTTTACCCTTCTTCTCAGTCTCTGGTTTCTAGACAATTTTGGCTGTAAGAAGTGTGGATCTGCTACACAGATTGCACTACAAGAGTAATCAGTGACAAACAATTCCTACTAGTTGAAACTTGCCAAAGTACTAACTTACTATTGTATAACTCCAGTCTTATTTACGGAGATTCTAGATTGTATTAACAGTACTGGAACACAACCAAGCTGGAGTGAAAGAATCAATTCACACATTCTTCATGGACTTCTAGAGAGAAACTCCTTCCTGCACTGCAGGAATGAAACATAGACACACTCCCTGCCCTCTAAGTAGGTAAAGTCCTCTGCAGGCTTTTCTGTTGGGCTGCACTGCCAAAGAGAGCATCAGTATTTCAGCCTCTCAGAATTACCAGCTGAGCTACTGGCCCAACAGTTTCTGATAAACACAAACAAATGAGTGAATTTTAAATATGATCATATACCAAAGGAAATAACTTTAGAGAGATACAGTTGGAAAAAAAAACCCAAACAGAACATATCTTAAGGGAGGCTGCACTCACCTCCTGCTCCCTACAATAAAATGAATGAGATGCCTTCTTATCCCTCAGTGAGAATAAACACAGTAGCCTGAAAATCTGACACAAAGGATATGTTACAATGCCCTTGCAATGTTTTGTACATGTAAGACCAGTTTCCACTGCATCATTATTTCTATTGCAAAAGGCTCCAGTCAAAATTGCTTTCACAGTTTCAGGCATTGTGACTGATGCATGACCCCAGCTTAAAGACAAGTGGAGTTTTACTTGAACTACATGGAATGTCTGAATATGGAAAAGAAAGGAAGAAAGAGCAAAGGTAACAGGAATAGAATAACACGGTCCTACAGATGTACAACCTGACCATCTACAAACTCAGTGTCAATTAGAAAACTGATTAGTCGAGTCATGAGTTTGTTAGATCGAGTCCCTTCTTTCCGGCCAAATTACATAAGGAGTTAACTATATTTGTTCAGTTCTGGACCCTTCACTATAAGAAAGACATTGAGGTGCTGGAGTGAGTCCATAGAACAGAAAAGCAGCTGGGAAGGGTCTGGAGCACAAGTCTGATGAGGGGCAGCTAAGGGAGACAGAGGTGTTCAGCCTGGAGAAAAGGAGTCTCAGGGGAGACCTTATCACTCTCTGCATGAAAGGAGGCTGTAGCCAGGTGAGGGTTGGTCTCTTCTCCCAAGCAACAAGCGATATGAAAAGTGGAAATAACCCCAAGTAGCATCAGGGAGGTTTAGATTGGATGTCAGGAAAAAGTTCTTCACTGAAGGAATGGTCAGACATTGGAATAGGCTGCCCAGGGAACTGGCAGAGTCACCTACCTCTGGAAGTGTTAAGAAAACATCTAGATGTGGCACTTGGGAATGTGGTTAAGTGGAGGACTTGTCAGTGTTGGGTTAAAGGTTGGAAATGATTATCTTAAAGGTCTTTTCCAACCTTAAGGATTCGATGGTTCTATGATTCTATAGTTGTTTCAGAGACAGGTGAAGTTTTCTTGAGAACATTGCCCCAGTTAAGAATTATACAAACTACGGAGGATTCATCAGGTGAGATACTATTCTCTGAACGTGTATACTGTCCACTTGTATTTCTGAGAAATTTTGCTCTCTGTAACAAATGGTTAGACCTTGAAAATTATGAGATTGCATAGAAATAATCAACAATATCATCAAGCTTAAACTACATAAATGCATTATCAATTTCTCTTAACAGGAACAAATTCTGTTCCACCTTGATTTATGTGTCAGTACAAATTTTCGAAGAGGCACGCACAGATGGTGTAATAGCTTGTGTCATGAGATCATTTAGTCATTAACCATTAATACAATAATCTTTAGGCACATTAGGGCAGTGTTAAAGGCCTAATTCAGAACTGCATATCTTCGGAGATCTTGCTGAAAACTTTTCCTGTCTTCTGACTTAACTTTATATAAGCAAAGCATGATGATACATATCTTCTAGGAGAACATCCATATGCCCCTTAGTCCAAGGAGAAACAGAGAAAGGGGGTTACACCCAGCGAGTTGCTTTGATATTCTTCCAGTTTCTACTTGAATGACAAAACCTATCTCAGCTTTTTGCTCCCTTGTTCTCATGGGAGAGCAATTTCAAGAGAGAGCTACCAGTAGCCTTGTTGTAAACACCAAAATAACATGTTTTATCTGTAGAAGACTGGCAAGAATTAAAGATCTGAGTATCTTTCACAGAGAAATAGATAAAGTTTTGGTTGAAACAGAGGCAGCACACTTCAATCTCAGTACAAAGTGGGACACACTGTTCTGAATTTCGTTCAGTTATGTTAATCAGCTGAATGACTTGAGAGAAGAACATCATGAAGGGTAACCAAGGGGAGAGGTGATAAGGCTCATTTCCTTATCAGTTGGACAGAAAGTGGACCAGAAAGGGTTTATCAAGAAGAAAGGCTTAGGAGAAAATTGCAATTCAAAATAAAAATTAATCTGTTGTGTCTATACTGCTAATATCCAGCAAAGTTGTGGACTACATCCCAAATTGCCTTCCTCAAAGGTATTTTGTATATCTCCCTTGAGAACCAGGATCAGCAAGGCAGAGATAAAGAAGTTTGCAAGAAACGTTCTTCTTTGAGTACTGGCTCTTCTGTCCTTCTCCAGTTACCAGCACAGAATTATTCGGGTGCAAAGCTACTGTTTCACTCACTTAACTCCAGGAGGGTGTTTGGAACACTAGAGGAAGTCCATCACACTGTAAGGTTTCTATGTGAAGAGCCCACCGGTGATCTGGTTGTCTAGAACATTTTTTTGTGGTGGCTTTGGACATTCTTTGGAAGCTTTTCTATTTGTTGCTCTCACACTACCTGATTCTAAAAACCTTCTGACAATAAGATTGGTGAGGTTTAGGAGAGCTGTTTAAGGGATAAAAGGGAGAGGATCAGCATGTGGTACTTTTCCAGTGTAGGAAGTAATCACAGAGTGATTTTCTGTATCCCATACAAGGTAGCAACATAAAATCCCCAAACATTTTCTAGTTTTGGGCTTAGGAGTGTTGTTCAGGTTGTTTATTCAAAAATGTTATTATTTCCATAGAAAAGCATCCTGCTGCATGGAAGTTGTACTGAGATGGGCTATGTGCATTTCCCCCTCAGTGTAGATGCAGATGCAGTGATATTTAACTACATCATGAGCAAGGGCTGTGTTTTGAATAAAAGATTGTTGTAGCAGCAAGTGTGCAGGTTTGTGGGTTTTCTATGAAGAACACTTTATAGATTGCTCTTTTTGCTGTTGAAAACAATATCTACAAAGTTTTCCTGATATAGGAATATTCTTACGACAGTTTGATGGCAGACAAGGTAGTTAACGTATTTGTGCTAAAAAAAAAGCAGAGAAAAGACTTGCTACCTGTCAGACTGAAGAATTACATGTCCTACTCCTTTCAATCACATTCTAAGTATGTATAAACTTGCCAGCTATCCCTACTGAAAATTCACTCTGGATGTCCAGCTGTGATTTGATGATGCTTTACAAAACCCTATCAGCTATTAAAGTCCATTTGCTCTGGGGATTTTCATTATGTGAATATTTCAAAATCCATTTGTCAATGAATAGCAGAATGGCCAGTCCTTTCTTGGAGGTCAATTCTCACTGAATATTTGTTGCCTTTCTACTGACAGCTGAATGACAAACCAGTGCAAGCAGAACTATTTGAAGTAATACGAAACAAACCTATTTCTATGCTAATACATTTGAAACACTACATTTCTCTGACAATATTATAATGTTGGAGTCTATAAAATGTCTACAGAATATTTGTTCTGTTGCTGTGTTAATAAACAAGAATTCATTATTCTAATTTTGTCCTTCATTCTCTGCAACCTTTACAGGAAGAAAAAAAAAGCTCGTAAATAACAGTGGTGATAAATCAGCACAGAGAACTAGACATATTTACATGGACATAGACTTCATACTGAAATACTAATTACTGCAGGCAAATTTAGTTTTCCCTTTAATCAGATTTTACAGGTAATTAGCAGTCAACTAAGATTAATTACAATTCATTTTGTGTTAATGTCATCTTTTGGTCACAGAAAGTTTACACAGTATTTTATTTGCCAGATGTAAAGCTAATTCTTACATAGACATATCAAGGTTGTGCAAACATGTTTTTAGTTCACCACACACCTCTTACTTGTCTTAGAAATATGCTGTTGCATGAGATGCCTTTGGGTCTCCAGAGAGCCATGCAAGATCCCCAGGCACACCAAAACTCCTGCAAATGTTGCACCCAACCAGACCTCCACATCATTCAGCTGTAGTCAAAAGGGTTATCAGGACTGTTAAGCTCAGTACATTCAGTGTGAGACCACACTTTTGTACCCCACCCCGTGTTGCAACCCACCTGCTGTAGCTACTCAGAAGTCTCATGCAGGAAACTCGCTGCCTGAGGGGCTGGTCCTACCTTGGTGAGTCAACCTGATTCACCAAATCTCACTCTTAAATTAATAGAGCCACCATTTCTCTTTAGAGAGATGTGTGAAGTCCCCTGCCAAATAATTGAGCTCACATTACAGAAGTTATTCTCTACAGAACCAAAGCACCTCCTGACCTGTCACTGTTAGGGCATGTGAAAATGGAGAGCAAAGTAAATGAGTTTTTAGGCCTCATCATGAATAGTCAGCACTCAGAGCTGCTGCTGAAACCAGAGACCATAGAAAACTACATCTTCTGAAAGCCTGCTCAGAAAGAGAGCTGTAAAGGTCAAGCACGAAGCTCATGGGAGGCTCGTGGGCTCCAGCATCTCAGGAGGCAGTAGGGTTTAACTCCAAACATCTCATTTCCTGGGGCAGGACATTTGAAAATGGTATCTTGGGCATACCTCATCTGTTCAGAACAGAGAAAAGGTCCATCACATAAAAGACAGAAGCTGAAAGATAGAAGGCAGCGGTAACCAGTTCCCAGGAGAGCCACAGGGCCTCTGCACATGGGGAAAGGGCAGATCCCTCCGTGGAGCACCACTGGCCCTGTTTCACACAGGCTTGATCTCATTCAGGTCCCAACACATAGTGCTTCCTTTCCGACTGCCCCTAAGCCTTTATAGGCACAGAAAACTCTAGGATGGGAGTGACACCAAAATTCTGTGAATGTGGGGACTCTGCATCATAGTCAGATGGAGGAGGTAAGGGTAGGGAAACACTGAATTGATCTTTCCTCTTGTCACATGCAGCTTGTGCTAACTTTGTGCTGGTGTCAAGTGAGAAAACACTCACTGATGGGTTTTAATACTCCTCTCTAAACTAAAAAGGATCAAATGTCATAGTCTGAACTCAGACAAGCAAAAACAAAATGACAGAAGTCATTGTCAGGATTCACAGACATTTTCCTCCTCTGTTTTCGATTGCTTTCTTCTCATCAAGCTCAACAAAACAAAACCAAGAAACAACCAGAAGTACATGAACCAAAACTGAAGAAGTGGATATATAACTTAGAGTGACTGTTCAGTGTGTCGACTGTGGAGCACACTGGAACTGCTTAGCCTGGATGAGGAAATAAATCTGATTGAGAGGTGAGTAACTGGGAGTATTTCAAACTCACTTGAGGCAGGAAAGCAGAAACACACACTCAGCGTGTGCTCGCTGTAAAGCTTCCAGCTGCAGTTACAAAAATCACAGAATGCATTTCTTAGTGTAAGACCAGAGTTTGAGGAATATTTTTTTCCTGCATAACAACATGGAAAACTCTTTTCCATTATATCAATTCCCTCCTGCTCAAGTGAAAAGTCTCTTGAGAACATCTGCCCCAGATAAAAACAACTCAAATGCCTGGGGACCATCGAGCAGGAGGATGCTTGTCAAGTCCTTCTTACAGTGGGGCAATATGGCCTTTGAGCTGCCCATGCAGCTGTGATAATGTAATTCTGGAGTCACAATACAACTGAACAACAAAAACCCATTGGAACTCTATTTTTAACTTCTTGGGATGAGTCATTTCACAGTGAAATAGTTCAACAACACCCTGCAATGATAACCAGTTTTCATCCAGTAATTTCTAAACACTTTACTTGGTAAAGCTTAATCTACGTCACCCCTGTGAACTAAAAGCTACTCCACAGAGTTTTTTAGAGCAAAAAGTGAAAGAAGGTCTAAGACGAACAAATGGTCCTACAAAGGCAACTGTAATAATCAGTGATAAAATTGGAAACAGGAATCGAAACACTGACAGGCCAATTTTCATACATTAATCTTGGAAGAGTACTTCTCTCTCTGCAACTGTGTTGCAGAGGTGATCACAATGATTGACTGTAGCAGTCAGACCTCCTAATAGAAACAATTGTATTAAAATTAATTAATTTAAAATTTAAAGAATTCATTTAAATTAATGAAAATTAATTCTGCCTGCACATCAATTCCATCTTTGCATTTTCCTAATTAGAGCCTACAAGCTCTTTTGTTTATCAATCATACATCTAGAGAACTACAGACAGAATGTCGTCATCACTGTCTGGCACCAGAGCAGCTGTCCAGGTCCACACTGACCTCTGCAATGACTGTCTAGACTGTGAGTCTGTGCCATCCCAGCACCGTGGTGCCACGCCAGGCTGTGGGGTCCCACACGACTAGATAAGGCACTCCCAGCTGGTGTGAACACAGAACAGGCATTACACAGCTGTGTAACACCACTGTGTCAAACTCCTCCCGTTGAAGCAGATGTGTATGGAGAAGTGGCATTTCCTTTCCAGCACTTCCGTGCTCTAGATTTTTATTAAACTGAAGAATGACAGCTCTACAAAGACCTTAATATCTACTTAATATTAGGAGGATTTTTTTCCCGTCCCCTTCATCACCCAGCACGGTGACCCACGCAGCAATACAGGAGTCAACCAGGTGATGCAGAAAAACTAGGTCTGCTACTCAAGAAAGAAAGCTGAGCTGTTAAGACCCATAAAGGAGGACCTGTTGCTCTTATTCCTGCAAAATTCCCACTTGAGGACAGGGACAGATCTTACATAATGTTTTTAATGCTCCCAGCTATTCAGACCCTTGAATCCAACTCTGTAGGGTTTGAGGGTCTGCACTTACTGCTGCTGAGATGCTACCACAATGTGGTTTCAAAGAAAAAAACTTTTTAGATGAAGTTGCTGCATGTGTGAAACTAAAGTAATAAATGTGGCAAAAATAACACTGGGGCTCACGATGACATCTGTGTGTTTGCACAGCACCCCGCACCAGTCCTGCCTGGGGCCTCAAAGCAGTGCTTGGCATTAATATCAATGTTCCCTACAGACAGCAAGTTCATTAAACTCAGTCAGGAAGCAAAGTGAATTCAGTAGACAATGGAAACACCACAAGATCAATTAAGTGAGACTTTATACATCATAAATGTGTAAGAATTCTTAGAGGCTTTCATCAGATTTCAATAAAAAAGTCCTGAGTCAACTAGCTAAGCAAACCATTTATCAAAAGAGATAAAAAAATGGAGACAACTTTCAGTACTTACATAAGATAGAGTAATTAAAAGTATTGTAGTTTATGCAATATTTCAAAGGTAAAGAGAGGATAAAAAACCCACTTTACATCAAAAAAGTTCTCAATATATACTACATAAACTTTAACATCAGCAAAAACTTATAACAAATGGGTTACATCTGTCTTTGCTAAGAAACTTTTCATTCTTTTCTCTTTCAGTATTGCTCCCTAAGTTCTGCTCTCTAAATTCTTAATTCTTTAAAATCCCTGAGGCTGTGGTTTATATTTCTCCAAACAGCATGTTGGAGCACACCAGCACCAGCTTTTATCTCTCCTACAGGCTTCTTATCTTCCATCCAATCCACAGTATCAATACTCTCCATTGCTGTGCTCCATTTTCTTCCCCTGGCTTAATTTGCACTCTTCTGATGCAATATTTTCATTCTTTCCTGGTATCTCCTTATGACAGAAACGCCTTCAAGAGCAGTCACAATACTTTAGTTACTTCTCCCTGATTCTGAGTCACTTACCTCTGTTCTGAATCACTATGAAACACTGCATTAAGTGCTATACTTAGAGTATGTTGCAAATATAATGGGATTTGAAATACATTTAAAAAATCAACTTGTCATATATCAATATGAGCAATGCATCAGGGGACTGCAAATACTTAACTATCCATAAGTAGAAGCAAAATCCTCATCCTTCATGTAAATTAGACAAATAGGAGAGCAAGTTAGCTATGCTAAGTAATGGTGGGCATCTAAGTTTAAATTATATTTTCAGAAGATTTTGAGGGGTCTCATCCTCTAACTTAAGAGGAAGAATCATTTCATGAGGTCTGACTCATTAGATAACTTAGCTTGGCTCATGGATTCCCAAACTGTGGTGCCTGGCAGTTTGTAGTCTTTGCCTCAGTCAGTAGTCTTTGGGCCACCACTGGTCCACAACATACCCCAGAAAACAGACCCCCAAAAGGCAACATGATCCCCACATTGTCAAAACTGGAACAGAAACAAAACAGAAAAAATACCAACAACAAATGAAAATGCAAAGTTTTACCTAAACTATTTTCTTATGCAATTCTGCTCAAGAAGGTTTGTAATTCCTTTTTAAACGTATTTAGTCTGTGAATAAGAAAGGGTGAAGACACTGATCTGTGGAAATGCAGAGAGCATTCCGAGAGTGGATGCTCTCAGGGTGCTGGTGTACCTTGCTTTTTGTTCATTAGCCAGCTTTAAAAAAGCCAAACTTTACAAGAACCTGTTGAGAGCTTGATTACTTATATTTTGCAAGTTCTCAGCATATTATGAGACAGCTAGAAATACCTACAGTACCTTCTTAAGGCTACTATTCTCTGCAGGTAACTGCTTTAGCTGGTGCTTCCACATGGTATAACCCATAATGCAGACAGAATATGACCATGGTGCAACTTTTTGCTAACAATGTAGTGCACATTATAAAAAAACCCCTTCATATAACCCCTCTTGATTCAATGCTTCCAAGTAGTACTAGTCCAACCTTCTGCAATCATTAATGAAAATATAAGGCTGGAATTTCCTTCTTCAGCAACAATACACAGCAGGAAACTGTGCAGTATGACTGAAAGTGATTAATAAGATTTCCTTGAAATAGGGCACTGACAAAATCCCCCCAGTACTTTCAAACTCCAGTCAAGAGAAATCAAACCGAACAAAACAACAAAGTGAAACTCAGTTTCTATATTGAGGATCAGAACAATGCTCTAGCTGAGTGGGTACCCTATTTCCAAGTGTCACTAACACTTTTAACCTCATAGAGATGCATATGTGCTCCACAGACAACTAGGAGAAACCCAGAACGAGTAGGACTCTTTGATAACAGCACATTTCAGCATAAAAAGCTATGCCTTAGAGAACAGGGAGGATTAGTTAAGCAGAAAACCTGGCCCTGTATGGGCTCGTTTAAAACTCCCAAATTGAGTGAATGCTTCAAATAATTTAGTTACATTATTTAATTCAATAAAAAGTAGATTCTGCAGGCTCATCAAAGGAATATTTCAGTATATTTAGGTTCTTAGGCAATTTCCGTCATTTCAGTTCTGATTTTATGACAAAAGTTTAGGACTAAGCTCAGAAAGGTGTCCTTACTCATCTGCTTTCTTTGAAGGCAGGTTATGTGTATTTATCACTGTGAATTGAGGTTAACAGTGCTTTCATTTAAGGTTATGAGGCGTCCCCTTGTTTGCTCTTGGCAAACTAGGATAAAATTTCATCCTTCCTAATGATGACTTGCTCGATCAAAAAATAATCCAGCAACTGACTGTGACACCAAAAGATAGATTTAGTAAGAAATGACATAGGATAGTCACAGCTATTTTGCAGAAGGAAAGAATAAAACACCAGCAGTTAAAACTGAGAGCATCATAACTGAGTAAGATAAAGAGAAATCTCTTATTTAAAATGTGCTGGGATAAAGAAAGAGTCTCCAACTAAATTCTGCACACAGAGATGCAAAATATCATTCTCACATGTACCTAATCACAACCTGTTCTCTACTTCCAGCTCAGTGAGTGCCCTGAGGCAAACAACTGCTGCCTTGGTGAAAGAAACCCACACTACCATAGTAAGAGCTTCCCTCTTGAATCAAAATACATCTTGTAAAAGCATCTCACACCTGGACAAACCTATTAAACAATTATTAAATAAGAAGTAGAGTATTTAAAATGGATGTCACTAGAATATAGCAAAATAGTGAGGACAAATCATGAAATAATAATCTACGTTAATAAGGCTGAAGATTCTCTATGAAGAAATCATGTGTATAATTTACAAGGAATAGAAAACTAGAGCTATTATTTCTCTAATGCTGCATGCAAAAAATACACATAAATGTATGTTCAAATTCACACATAGACACATACATGATCCTGAACTCTTTCATCCTCCAGGGCATTTTAATTTTACCTGCACACTTTAGTTATTCTTTTTGAAAGGTAAAGACAAAATGGTTGCTTCCTATTCAATTATCCTTTCTCAGCCTCTATTTGACACAGGTCCTTCTATTGCATGGTGGCTATGAAAAACAGTCCATGAAAATATTACCATTTATATAGCTACTTGCATTATAACACCTTTCAATAATTACCTACAATTTTCAGTAAAGGAAGATCTTTGAGATAGATCAAAAAGCCTGGACTCTCTTTTAATTAAATAAGAAACAGCACAATTGTCTTTTTGTTATCCTTAAAAATAAGAAATTAAACCCTAGAATTATTGATGTTTTGAGCATTTTTTAAAAATGCAGAAAACGCAAGTATCAATATCTCTATACATAAAATAAATTATATTTTATTCTGTGTTTACACGACCATTTAAAAACGTTTCCTGCAATGGATTGTTTCCCTTGAGTTGCAGACAGCAGGGGAATCTTCTACAAAAGAATGCAGACTGTGATAGCCCAACAGTGATGCAGAATTCAAAACCTCACTACTGCAAATTTTATGGTTCTCTCTTCAGCATTTCATAAAGGGAAGACAATCAGAGAAAATAAATGTATTTTCATGGGTACTTCTAAAATTAACATTGACAGAAAAATTCTCACCTGAATGTCATTGTTTGATCTGTCATTATTATATGAATAAAAATTAATTAAAAGATACCTCCTCTAAATTTTAATAGATCTACTTTCATGAGCCAGGTGTGCAGGATTTGTCCATAAATATAACACAACCAGTAATATAAAGGCTTGAGAAGGTAGTAACTGCAACAGCAACTTGTACTTGAATTATGTATCATTACAGATACAAAATTAATATGCTTATGTAACTAGTAATAGAAAGAAGTGCAAAAGATATGGGTGAAAAATGGGGCACAGAGCAGTTTGGTATTTAATGAATGCACTGGGATACAACTTAAGATTGTGTATATTTGTAACACATCTTGAAAAATTAAGCTTCCTCGTGACACTTTCATCTGGCTCTGAAGTAGTTGGAAGCTCTTTGTCTCAACTGCATTTGGAGGAAATCAAAAGCATTTCCATGCATAGAGAATCTCAATAATGCACATGAAAACAGATAACCTCACTTCACCACGCTTGTCCTCTTGGAGATAGCAGCTCACCAAAATAACAGTCTTTGTTATTGAATAAATTCCATCTTTAACTGGCATTATTCCACACCTGATATTAGCCTTGTGCTAGCATTTATCTCATTAATAGTTGCTTGCTTCCCTCTCCTCTCAGTATCTCGTACTTCTGTCCACCTCTTCCATATGGCCCCTGTTGTCTTTCTGACAACAGCCCTTTGGGGGCCATGACTGTTGCTTACAGTAATTTTTATTCATGCCAGCACAATACAGCTTAAATTGTTCCTGGCCTTCAGGTGGTGTTTCATTAATGCACATTAATATAAAATAACAAAACATCTGCGTGGGACGGGAGTATTCTGGATGCTTTGCAGAAATCATAAGAAAAGCAGATCGTCCCTGAACTGTGTATGACTCCACATTCCAGTTAGGCAGCCTTGTCTCCACAAGTACATCCTGTGGGCACACAAGAATCACGAAGGATTAGTGCCATTTGTAGCAGTCTTTGCTCAGAGGCACATGTTCCTCCCTGCAGAGCCCTGGTGAAGTCATGTGGTGCTGTGTGGGCAAAATGTTCTGCTACATGAAAGTCTGGGGCCATGAGCTCTGCTGTGAGTGGTTATCAACCTGCTGGCTCTGGGCATCAGGGAAGTCCTGAATTTTCAAGAGAAGGAGGAATGACCCATTGACTTCTGCACAGTCATTTGAAGGCTAATGTTAATCTACCTCATTTTGGCTGGAAACCTTGGATGCAGGTTGTATGGATGAGACAAGCAAAGCTGACATCTCACCAAAAATTTATGTATCAAGAGAAAAAAACCCACCACCAACAAAAGGTTGTAACTTATTAAAAAACTAAATAGTTGAATCAGAGAACATAAAAGAGTTTATGATGGGGAAAAAAACCTTAAGAAGGCTAATGTATCTCTGTTACTAGAATGTGAGGAGATGAGCATACTGATGGAGAAGAAAGAGAGAAAATTGTGGAAATTAGGGAAAGCTAAACATTGCAGCTACGAATCTCCAGTAATATTCCATGTGGGGATTATTGATTTGCCAAGCTCTAAAACTGTTTCCCTCTTCAGACCTTCACAGGAAACAAACCCAGTACTTATGCTAATATAACTATCCAACAAAAAACCCACACATACATGCAATTCCAGCTGGAAGCCATTAGTCTGCCTGGAGTCCGTCAAGCAAACTACTTTCTTTCAAGTGGAGATTTACCAAGCTGTTGAGGCTTTACTACATGGGTTTTCTCTCCCAAGTATATGAGACAGGAAAGCTTCACACTTCATTTGTGGTGACATATGCTATTCCCTTGGGAATTACTGCAGCCACCCAGGATTTACAGCCCACTCCGAGCTGCAGTATTCCTGTCACTAAGCATTATGAAATCTGAATTACTTTGCTTGAGGAAAACTTGTGGGGTAACTGCTAAAAACTACAGAAATCCTGGGAAATGTAGCCAAAACTAACAACTTTCAATGCTTTTTTTGCTCAGAATCTCAAACTTTACCTTCTAGACAGGCTCTTTTCCAACATGAAATCGACATTTGCCTATGTGGAGTTCATGGATTCTGGTTATCTCATTCCCCTGAAAGTTCATGTTGCTGAAAAGGGAGTATCAAATCTCTTCCAATACGCACAAAAAGGGTCAGGGAACTTTACAGCTGTGATCTGGACAGAGTTACAGCTCAAGTCAGAAAATTGGCCATGGAAATGCAAACCATTTGATGTGCTGATCAGTCAGCCAGACCATGCAACTGTTGGGTCCATGCTCCACCCATTCGCCCTTCAGAGGCATTAATTTGAGTTTCTTTATTCCTATACAGCCACTAATTTTCATATTTGGACTTAATACTTTTGAAATCACTGCCTGTTCTGTCACACTTGGCTGAAATCAGCTCCTGAGTCCCACAGTTATTGGCAGAGATGGACAGAAAGCTGAAGGCATAGACAAACAGCATGGTTGTACATATCCTTCCAAATCAAGCCTAGAGATGTTTCTCAGTGAAAAGTTGTTGGTATCAATATGCAAACTCTTTGTCCTACCAGAATGTATAGTTTTAGGTACAAACTAATCTTGCAAATCACTTTATTCTACTTTTTTGTCATATTGCAAGCTGCCTATGTGAGCGACACTGGTACACTTTTCCTCATTCCTCAGCAGCCACTACCACTTTCTGCTGCATTACCAAATAAAAAGTAATTTCAGATTTTTTTTGTTTTGAAATTACACTGGATCTACTTTCCCGATCCCCTCCGGTTGTTTGCTGTCTTAAATATATTTCCACTGTAAGCAACTGAGACATTTCTACTGTATGATTTACAGCAAGTAGGTACATGATATTCTGGCAAATACTGCTGTTCTTTGTTGAGCTACACAAAACAGCTTATCCTATCCTTCTTGCAAAATGCAAAAATTTTGCTTTCGAGAGGACTACATAAATAATATATATTTATAACTTAGTTCATAATCACTTAGTCTATTCTCCCTACATTCTCTTGAACCATAAGATCTCAGATTCTGTGGTTCATATACGTGAAGCTTATCTTATGATAAATATAGAAAACAAAATCATTTTTGCATACTAGAAACTTGAATAGAGAAGGTTATCTTAGTTGTAGTTTTTTTCAAGTTGAAAAGAAATATCCTATAAAAACCAGGCAACTTTCTTTCATTTCAATGGAAATTGAAATAATGCCATTTATCTTTTAGTCATTCATGAACATGTATAATTATTACCTGAGATGAGGTATACACAACTAATCATGAAAATATGGTTACAGAATACAAAACATACTACAGAAATTACAGCTCATGTAAGATCTTTAAACAGAGCATCAGCTGGAACAGTCTCTTAAGAAACTGCATGCTGCTGAACTATTGTGGATCTGCAGGACTGTGTGGAAGGCAAATAACATCAGCTGTTAGAGAGTATTGCAGGAAACCAGAAATGAAAAGCCACTAAAAAAATGACTATAACTAAAAGGATAACAGGAGGATTCTGATTCCTAATCACAGATGTCACATGCTATTTTGGATGTCATAGCCTATACTGCTTGGTTTCCCTCTGCCATTCCAGAGAGGTGTAGGTCTTTAGTTCTCTCTATATGGTAGATGTCAATGCTGTGCAAATGCCTTGGACAACTTAGGGCATGAAAGTGGCACTAAGCATTTACATTCAAATAACTGAATGCCATTCTTAATGTCAGGGGAAAAAAAAAAAACAAAAACAACAAAAAAACCACCCTCATAATCATATCTGAAGTAATTTGCAGACACAGTGAATAACTGTGAGGTAATGACTGCTTATGTGAAACAACATTTTGGCCTAACTTCAAGCTTTGACTTAAGGTCAAAGTATAAATATGTCTGACACAAACAGTATCTTTCAATGGCACCAACTTCCAGCTCTTAGAAATAAGAAAGGCTTTATACAATTATCACAGCAATTCAGACTTCAGTCTGGTTCCTACTTGAACAGTCTCACATAAATTTCTATTTATGTGTGCTTGTAGGCCCTCTCCTATAATTCCTAGAAAAACTTTGTAATTGATTTTTTGGCAATTCAAATATACTGTAGGTCCATTAAACAAATTATATAATTTAATAATGACTCTGATGACTAATGCTATCCCTGCTTATAAGCAGCAATAAAATTTCTCAACATTATCCTTGCCCTGATACAGTAGGCATGTTAAGAAAAATGTAAGTTTAATGCTTGAGGATGGTTTCAGGTTCATTGGTCAAAGAGGATGAAGTGAGTAATGATTGTTCCACAGCATTTTAAATAGAATACTTTTATCAAAAATAGAGCATCGCTTCCAACACACTACTTCAAAGAATGTGCCCAGGTCACTGCCAAGGTATTCCTAAAGGAACTTCCAACATCTTGTTGTTAATTCAAGCAAATCCACACTTTGTGTAACAATGGCTTCTACTGAGAAATAATTTTAAGACAAAAACATCTATCAAGGTTCATGCAGTGCTGAACAGCCATTTTTCTATTTACAGGTATCAAGCAAAAACATTAAATACCACACATTTTTCTAATATTAGTAATAAAA